TCAGCCTTCTATTTCCCACTCCTTATTTAAGCTGTTCAAATTGTGTGCACTTGGATTGTTGTCAGAGATGACATGATGGTTTATATATAAAAATATATGGCATGTAATAGCTTTTGCTTTCTCGGTTTGCTTTTAGGATAGATGATGCTGAGGCATGTTTCATTCTTAGCAGCCGGTGTGAAGTAGACCGTACAGCAGCTGTAAGTTCTTTAAAAATATTTATGCTGTTTAAAAAAAATAGTATGCTGTTCATACTGTTATTACTATTATGAAGTTCTGGGCAGGAGTAGATGTCCACCCTTCTGAATCTTGCGGGGGGCGAGAGGGGAGGAGCGGTGTGTTCTGGTGGGAACTTCATTTTTTGTACACTCCTATTTGAATTAAGGTAGCCCCAGGGATGGGACAAGACCACACTGTAATAGGTGCTGCATAAATATGGAACCCCACATCAATCCCTGCCACCAAAAAGATTAGTCTCAGAAAACTAGGAATAATGTTATAATTCTCCAATTTACACATGCATCTTATGTGGTACAAGGTAAAATCCTTGTTCCATGGAAATTGACTTCAGTGGGGACAGGATTGCACTTCCTTTTAATACAGAATTTAAAAAAATCTTGCATGCAATGTGTGTAATCTACTGCTTCCTTGGTAATCAAAACTGTAAAAACAAGAGTTAGGTTTGGATTTTTACAGGGGAATTAGACAGTTTTAAATAAACATACATAATGCTCATTGTTATGCAGTGTGAAATAGATTGCGATTCTGGTTGTTTTTTTAAATTTGGTGTCACAGGGGTAATATAAACTGCAAGAAATGTGAAATGTACTGGTTCTTTCTAATTACATAAAATTTACTAAAATCAGTAAATCTTTATTCACAAGAGTCGCTTCTTGCCCCAGAGAAAGTCTGATTGACGTCAATGGGAATGTTTGCAATGTTTGATCTAGAAACCCAATTATAAGAGTTATATTCTTGCAATCAGGAAACAGGCATATTATGTTACTTATGCTTCCACTCAAAACAAAACAAGTATCAACTACATTGAAATGCTTCCAAAAATGCTACAGACTAAGATTTATGTTTACAAATTTTACATGATTAATTTTATATGTATTACATTTGAAAAAAAAAATGTGGGCAATTCACATGTATACGAAAGGCTAGAAACACTGAATACATTATTCATTATGATTTGTCTGGTAATAATGCTTAATAATGTGAAGTTGAAATGCACATCCACAGAAGGAGACCTCTGAGAATTTAAGAAGATACAGATTCCCTCAAATCTGTGATAAAATTAAAAACATTTCTATAAGAGCTAGTGCTTACTGGGGTAGTGTACTGCACTATTGCTTTCAAACATGCATGTGAAAACTCCACTAGTGTAAGGAGTATTATGAGCACATGTTCCCTTATACCCATTCCAAAGTACAAAATAATTAGCAGTATTTGCTCAAGAGGCTATCATGCTGAAGATGATTTACTTAGGTCTGAGCATTTGTATAGTTAAATTGGGAATCTTGTATATTAAGATGGAAATCAAGACAGTTTTCATAATTTGCTAGTGCATATGGTTGTAATTTTCAGTAATTTCAATTAAACTTATGTTTTGCCTGCTTTTAAAAAAAAGCTGCTTATATAGGTGTGTACAAACTAGATAATCTAACAGTACTAGCTGTAAAATCTAAAAATATCAGAGAGATTTGTCCTAGATAGTAATGTTGTATAAGCTACTTAACTCAATCTAGGCAATAAAAGTTGGTGACAAATTTTCTCCCACCCTTCATATTTCACACAGAAAACTGAGATTTTGCATAAAGCTGTGTTATAAATAAATAAGCCCATATCCAATCATATCCATTACCTCGGCCCGTGGTTACTTCCCTCCTTAGCATGTCTGTTTTCAGGTAGCATTATCAGGGACAGAGAAGAAACACCAAGGAATGAAGGACAAAAGAGCCTATAAACCTGTAGGTCAGAAAAAGAAAAAAACAATCCTCTCGAGTGGACTATGGGCTGCCTATGTTGCAGCTTTTAGTCGGGCAATTGTTCATCTGTACCAAGACACCTTATAAAGTATTTGAATAAAGGATACCAATTCAAAGCAAAGTGAAGGTCAGACCCTCAGTTGGTGTAAATGAACATGACTATATTGACATCAGTGAGAATGTGAATATCCGGACCAGGGCGCCTACCAAGATAGTTCCAGAATGTAAGTCATCATCCAACATTTGACAGCTCCAAAAGGGCCTTGATAACAGGTTATACAATTTTTAGAACATAGCAGAAAAAGGTATTGGAAGGACAAGCAAGTAGAATGCTTCAAGTAGAGCAGGCACTCAGAATTTGTTATGCTACAGTGACTCAGGTACTGTAGCATCTCTGATCCAAGTACAGGAAGAGACTGTTGTTAACCAGCACCTGGAGAAATTCATAAACACATTAGCAACCAAGGCAATGGCAACAGTTTAAAACACCTGGTCTAGAATGTCTGTACTTTATCATACTTGACATTTATATGGAGTTTTTCATTTTCAAACCACTTTACTGAGAGGGTTTGATTCACCTCCACTAGTGTAGAGGGTTGCAACTTGCACTTTTCTACAACAATAGCTGCTGCTACACCCCAGAAGAGATTCCCCTTGATGAAGGAAAAGCAGTGCTGGTTTTACCTTCCTCAAAGTTTCTACCGGGGGTAAGGGATAGCTATAGACTATATTCATCACTCTAAAGGGGCTGTCTGGGGGAACACGCTGAATCAGTACATCTACTGGTCACATAGCCCTTCATCCACTCCAGCCAGCAGTGCTCACTTTTGGGCTGCAGAGGCATCATGCAGTGTTGGAATCACTCTGATCAGACTTTCTGCGACCAGGTGCATTGTGCCCTGGGATCAATGCAACTGGTATCTTGTGAGGCTGTGTTAAACTCATCCAGCCTCATAAATACTGTCTGATAGAGATAAGAAAGATAATTCCTACCTGGTGCAGATGCAGGGACAAGGAAGTAAAACAACATGATGAAGGTCCCAGAACAAGCTAGTGTGAGGCCTGTGACCACTGTCTCATTCTCTGCTTACAACAGTAGCTTTGCCACTTCCAGGATCAGTAGGTGACAACACCGATTTACAAATATATTCAGAGCAGCCAGCATTCCAAAAAGACAAATACTATTAAAGAAATCTTCTTGTTGCCTTTTGCAATCTGGAATCTGAATGCCTGCTTAGAAAGTAGGCTAACATGGTGGCTAATGGCAGATGTAGTGTCTCCCATCACACGAACAAAGAAGCATCAGTTGTGCTCCCCTTTCCTGTTACCCTGAATTTTTTATACATTGTTTTGAAGACCTCTCCCCACCATAACCAGTGCCTAAGGGGAAGGGCCTTGTCGTGGCGGCACTGCTTATACCAACACTTCCCCATTTTGGTCACAGAGTACTCACTGTGTACATTGCTTTGTCCTATTCCCAGCATGCCCAGCCAAAGAGTGTGCAGAGCACAAGGCAGCATGGCTGAGCCAGGTGGGCGGAGCCAGGAGCAGGGCAGCACAGGGCCCCTGAATGCATAGGGTCGAAAGCAACCACCTTGCTCGCCTTCCCCAAGGCCGGGCCTGATTCCCAGAGATAATAGAAATGCCCTGCTCTTGAGTTCAATTCTGACCCTTAACTTCGGCTATCCAAGGGTATGTCTACACTACCCTCCTAGTTCGAACTAGGAGGGTAATGTAGGCATACCACACTTGCAAATGAAGCCCGGTATTTGAATTTCCCGGGCTTCATTTGCATAAGCCGGGCGCCGCCATTTTTAAATCCCGGCTCATTCGAACCCCGTGCTGCGCGGCTACACGCGGCACGGACTAGGTAGTTTGGACTAGGCTTCCTAGTCCGAACTACCGTTACTCCTCGTTACCGTTATTCCACGAGTTCGAACTAGGAGGGTAGTGTAGACATACCCCTACAGAGTAACTATGACTATCTCCAATCGGGAATCTTATCTTTATTCTTCTCACCCTATCAGAAAGCTTTCCTGACCAATGCTCACTTGAAGTCAACATTTTTCTTCCATCCTAGACTATGGACCTGATTTGATACTGACCAGCAACTTTTGTAGGTGTTTGTGACTGTGCAAATCACTACCATTCCAATTTGGTAGCACTTTTGCATGGGTGTAAATGTCTCTAGGAAGTGCATGATCTCTTTTTTCTCCCCGAATGACCTAAGATTTGGCTTTTCCACTCCCAAATACCCTCACCATGTACTCGTATTTTTGGTCCTTATAAAGGTAGAGAGGGCAAAGAATATTAGAGAACAGACAGAAGAGAGATAGACAAAGAGAGAGTGGGGGATAAAGCATACAGAGGGAATATGAGAATAGAAATTAGACAGCTGAGTATCAGCTATTGAAATGGAATTCAAAGATCAAAATGATATATTTTATGGTTGAATCTGAGAATGCCTAAAGCAACCAAAGCCCTGTTATATCGTCACTAAAAGTTACTCTTTAGGTATGGCTAAGGTGATTAAGCCTTGCTACTGAGCCAAAGGGAATTGGTTTTGGATACCAAAACCATCCTGATAGTTGACCTTATACCCAAAACTGATTTTAAGCTGCAGTACTGGAGTGGGATGCTGCACTGATAGAAGTGTTATTACTTAAATGCTCTTTCATGCCCCTAATTTCCACCTGCACAATAGTCAAAGATCCGTTTAAAAGTGTGCAAACAATTTAAGTACACAATCAAACTAGGCATGCCAGCAGAATTTCAGTGTCCCTGTTTCAGCCACTTCACCAAACTGTCCATCAGAATTCAAACCAGTCTTCCAAATCCACAGAGATTCCTCTCCCATCAAAACAAAGCTTATATAGGCTCTGACTTGTCAGTGATTCCACTCATTTGCCATTAGTTTGCGAGAGATTGTCATTGCTTGTCATAACTTGTTTCTAGGTACATGGTTTGCAGACTCAGCATTTGTGTTGGACCTGATTCATAGACCATCACTTGAATTTAGGAGAGGAGCAACAAGATGACAGATGGCCACCAGCCACTTTCCTTAGTCCCTAGCAGAGGTGGGAGCTTTCTGTAGGGAGGGCAGGCATGTATCCACTTTTCAGGCTCCATTTATCTCTGGGAAAGGATGCTGTTTGTTCAGGCCACAAAGAGGCATGGAGAAGACCATCTTTTGGAGACTAACTTCTCCC